TCATCTTCGTTTGCTGGACTCGACTGGTTGTGATTCTCTAAGGTAAGATCGCTCGAGTGCCACTTGTGAAGTTTGAATGTCGCATCTTCGAACACCTCAACTGCTTGTGATCTTTTTGCTGCCACGGATTCCACGTTCTCTCCCCCCGTAATCAAATCATCGACGTATAAATTATCACGAATTTCCCTGACTAATTCTGGGTATTTGTCTTGCCAGAGCTTCAAGTGTTCATTGATTACTCCTCCAAGGAGAAATGGACAGCAAGTCAGGCCAAACAACGCGCGAGTAAACCGATACACACTTAATTTCCCACTTCCTGGACTTTCCCAAAAGAACCGTAATGCGTCTCGTTCTTCCGCCTTTATGCGTACTTGGAGGAAGGCTTTCTCGATATCACCCGTTAAAAGGACTGGGTAGAATCGCGCTCGTACGAGGATTTCCCACAATCGGTTTTGAAGTGGTGGTCCAGGGTTTAAACACTTGTTTATGGACGGCTGGCAGCTCTGTTCCTTTGCGGAGGCATCGTAAACAATCCGTAATTTCGTGGTTTCAGTTGATTTCTTTACGACCGCCTTGTGTGGAAGATAATACTCTTTGTCTACAGGTTTGTTTCATGCTTCTTCGATGATTCCCTGCTCAAGTTGTTTACGAATTATTCCGTCGTACTGTTCGTAATTTCCATCCCGCTTTAGCTTTCTCACCAGCGAAGTTCAACGTCGACGACTTGCAGCCTCGTTTGTGGGTAGGTCGGGGTGATTCACTTTCCATGGAAGGTTGGTCTCGTACCAACCTGCAGGATTCCTCACCAACTGCTCCTTGAAATCGTCGTAAACCGCATTCTGGTCGTTCTCCACCGTATCTGCCAGGCCGAGTATGTCTAATCTACACAGGCTTTCGAAGTCCGAGTGCGCAGTTTGGGTTAATAACATCGTACTGTGGTCGAAATCGATTCCGGGACTCATGATGAACCAGCCCAACTTCGTTTTCTCCGCCACCGGTTCGTGGTCGCCGCCGATAACAGGCTTCGTGCTTGTTTTGATTTGTGCGTACTCGCCGTTACCGAGCACTAAATGAATGGGCAATCTATCTTTCGTATCACAATCATCAATGACAACGTTCCCAAGGTGGTTATAATCACAAATTAGCTTCTCATAGTTCGGGTTATTAATAGTTAATAGTTCTGGTGTTTCCACTTTGGCCATTCTCACATTCATTTTGAAATTTCCTTCTAAGGCGCGTACTTCCGTGTCGTAAAATTCCATCCGGGTTGCCTTCGAGTCTAGGAGCATGTCAACACGTTGTACTCTGGATTCAATCGGTTTACTATCAATCATCTTAATCAGCTTGGCTGAGGCATACGACCCGCCGGCGCCAGAATCAATTAGTACACGACACTTTACACCGTTTACTGTTACTACGACTACCAGGAAAACACCATCACCGCTGACACCGTCTGTCATCAGTTTGTGCTCCCCTTCGGCGTTTTGTTGACGTTGGTCGCAAATTGAGGAGTGGTGACGTTTATTGCAGTGTTGACAGGATGCTTTGCTTGAACATTCTGTCGCACGATGTGTTCTCGTCACGCAATTAAAACACAAACCCCTTCTTGCAAGGATTTTCTTGCGTTCGCTTGTGTCGATGACCTTTTCGCACTGCGTCGCTTTGTGACCAGTGTCCACACAATACACACAGCCCCTTAGCTTAACTTCTTCGCCCCGCGCATTAAATAATTTTCTATGATCGCGAGTGTTCTCTTCACGCTCTCTGTCATTAGATACGACTGGGTTACGTTTCACCCAATGGCGCAGAGCTTCGGTTAACTTTACAAAATCCCAGGATTCCCACTCAGCGTCAGTGCGAACTAAGTCTCCCCTAATTGCGACTAATTTCTCGAGGGTCATTGATACATTTCCCTGCACAGAATCAAGCCTTTTCATGGTTTCTAGCGCTTGAACACAGTAAGACAGTTTTTTGCTAAATTTGGCGATTTTACGTGGATTTGCTGTTGTAATATGGGGCAATTCTAGTATTTCTTTGACGTAACTGTTCACTATTTCGGACTCTTTACCGTATTTGTCTTTCAGGATTGCCTTGGCTCGATTATAACCCTCTGGTGTAAACGGAAGGGCTTCAACACAGCGTTTTACTTTGGGCCCAAGCAGCTTGCGCAAGTAGGTAAATTTACTCATAGGTGCGATTGAACTTTTTCCTATTGCTTCATCAAACTGCCCCCAGAACCTAGGCCAGTCCATAATCGAACCCTCGAACTTTGATATTTCTAACTTGGGTAATTTAGCTGTCTTAAATCCAGCGCATTCCTGAACTTCCGTTGCGGTCTTACTTAGTTCAAGTTCAGCCTTCATTTTCATGCGTTTTTCATGCAGTTTTAACTCAACATTAAACTGCTTCTCTTGCGCTACGAGATGCTCGGAACGTTCCTTTTCCGCAAGCCAACTCTCTAACTGATCAATTTCAACGTCCGCCAGTTCAATCTTAGCGTCAGTCTCATTGTTCCAATCATTAATTTTCTCGACGCTTTCGCCTAGTTCGATTTTTGCCGCTTCAGCAGCTCGTTTAAGTTCGTTTGATTCCCAAACAGTCTCACGTAGCGCATCGAGATGCTGCTTAATTGATTCTCTCTTACCTGAGTCCAAGATATTCTTCGTTCGAAGGACTCCTAGGTTCAACTGTTTCAGCTTCGTATAATCAAGCTTCTCCATGTCACGTTTTGTCGTTGATTCGTACTTAAGATAAGTTAACTGGCGTTTCAGCTATCCCTTTAGGAGGTGCCACGTGTCGAGAATGTTTGCCTCCAAAACAGTAGTCCTCGACAAATCACATTTATATATAAGTTTTAATAGAAAATATAAGAATACCCAAAATCACATTGTATGCTCGTCGCAGCTGTCTCACATCCGTTCTCTCTCACTGTCACGATGACACTCACTAATACCTACTATGACTAATCTCCCTAATTAACTATCCCTCCCTAAAGCGTTATACGATATATCTTATCTGTTTGGTCAGTTCCCAACACACTCATTGCCCCACTTAATCCCTCCCTTTCAATATTCCCTGCAGGCATACTAGGTCATTGTGATGAATCACAATATTTGAGGAAAACTATATAACAATTTTACCAATGACCTCTCCCATATTTTACCAATGACCTCTCCCATATTTTACTGATCATTCCTTTTTCTGATTTTATCAACAATCTTAGCAGAAAATGGGGGTGCACAACCCCCTGCCCCACACACAAGGTACACCCTAAGTTAAGCCATACTGTACTTCAGACACCCTTGGCTTAAAATTCAGTATTTTTTGTGCATTTCTCTTTGTCATTTCACATGCTTTTTTCTTTGCAAAAATTATCCCACATCATGTATCAGTATTTTGTGTTATTTACTAACTTTATACATGGTGCTTTTGTGGGGAATATAATACAATGTGCATGATGTCATTTGTGGGAAGAAGACATTTCAACTAATGTGGAAAACAGATGGCATTATAGTTACTGTCTTCTCTGATAACTTTTTGATAAAATTTCAATAAGAGGCTTGACACCTCATTTTTATCAAAGGTATTAGGGCATTGCCCAGTGTCCACTCATTGCCCCACTTAATCCCTCCCTTTCAATATTCCCTGCAAGCCTACTAGGTCATTGTGATGAATCACAATATTTGAGGAAAACTATATAACAATTTTACCAATGACCTCTCCCATATTTTACCAATGACCTCTCCCATATTTTACCAATGACCTCTCCCATATTTTACTGATCATTCCTTTTTCTGATTTTATCAACAATCTTAGCAGAAAATGGGGGTGCACAACCCCCTGCCCCACACACAAGGTACACCCTGAGTTAAGCCATACTGTTCTTCAGACACCCTTGGCTTAAAATTCAGTATTTTTTGTGCATTTCTCGTTGTCATTTCACATGCTTTTTTCTTTGCAAAATTATCCCACATCATGCATCAGTATTTTGTGTTATTTACTAACTTTATACATGGTGCTTTTGTGGGGAATATAATACAATGTGCATGATGTCATTTGTGGGAAGAAGACATTTCAACTAATGTGGAAAACAGATGGCATTATAGTTACTGTCTTCTCTGATAGCTTTTTGATAAAATTTCAATAAGAGGCTTGACACCTCATTTTTATCAAAGGTATTAGGGCATTGCCCAGTGTCCACTCATTGCCCCACTTAATCCCTCCCTTTCAATATTCCCTGCAGGCCTACTAGGTCATTGTGATGAATCACAATATTTGAGGAAAACTATATAACAATTTTACCAATGACCTCTCCCATATTTTACTGATCAGAATTCCTTTTTCTGATTTTATCAACAATCTTAGCAGAAAATGGGGGTGCACAGCCCCCTGCCCCACACACAAGGTACACCCTGAGTTAAGCCATACTGTACCTCAGACACCCTTGGCTTAAAATTCAGTATTTTTTGGGCATTTCTCTTTCTCTTGTCATTTCACATGCTTTTTTCTTTGCAAAATTATCCCACATTTATAACACAGTACACAGCTGAAGTAATTTAATTTAACTTTTTCAAAAAATAATAATTATAATTACAATAAATAATTCTAAAATCTAAACTGTTCTAATAATTAACTTTGTTGCCCCATTGGCTATGGCCAATTTGCTCTGCTGTTCAGTATCTTGAAACTTCTAGGGGTACTCTTACTAGGGGGTACTACTGGTTCTGGCCAGTACACCACTACTCCTGCTATTTGAAAAAGACCTTGTGTCAACCTAAATAAGAAAAGTGAGTAATGTTTAAATATATTGTAGTTAGCCAATCTATCATTGTGAGGATTATTCAGAGAGATATCAGACCTTCACTACAGAGGATATTGCTGTCATCTCAAGAGGGAAGCAGGACAAACCCCTCTATCATGGTAAAATGTTTGAGGACATATATTAAACAACTGAAGGAGAACGGTGTTAATTAACTTGCAAATTCCTCTTTTTGGGAGGTGTGAATGTATTGTGGAATTACCCATCAATGCTTGGCCTTGGGTCAACTTTCTTTGTGTTGAGGATATCAACAAAACATTTACTTGTATTGCAGAGGTGGTATATGCACATAATAGAGATCTATTGCAGCACAAAAAAGTTGGCCCATGGCCATCACAACTCAAGCTGCTTTCAAAAGTGCCATTACAAATTGGTTGTGCACACCTACACCCCACATATACATGATTAACACCTTCGTTCAACATACTTACCCGTTTGGATGGTGAGGTGTTAGCCCGGGTGACCGAGGGGTGGCCTGGAACGACTACTGGTACTACTGTTGCTTGGACTCAGGTTAAGATCCATGCCACTGGTATCTTGAGCAGACCACCCCCGCAGGGCTAACACCTTCACACCAATTAACTAACCAGTACGGTTAGAAACCTGCGATACTGCCTTCTGAACTCTGAAGCCCGATCACGAACTCTGGTGATATGTAGGCAACAGGACGAGTCAATTTAAAATCTTTGTTCCTAATACGTTTGCAACGCTTCCAACGCACAATGATTACTAATACCACCAATGCGCGGCCAACCTCTTATTATATACTCGCCCGGCCCCCTTTTGGTCACATGATGTGCCGACGTAACGAGGCTTGGTTCCCTAGCTGTTAACCTTTGTTATTGCATAACCTCATATAACTGCACAGTAGGCAAGTGTTGTTTAATACAAATCTGGCAAAGACTGAAAGACTAGCAGTTTAATAATATAAATATCTCGGCGAGTATTTACCCCCCCCCCCCCTTTTAAAAAAATT